CTTATTCCGATCCGGATCGCCGATTCGCCGATCCGGATCGGTTTTTGAAAAGTCCGATCCGGGTCACCGATCCGGTTTTTAAACCATTGGCACTAACACTCTCTATACCTTTATGGTAGACAAAAACTTTATGACATGGTAAAATCTATATCCCTTCTAAATACGCTCCAAAACTTTATATCCTGTTATCCTTATGTATACATATAAAACACGAACTTTGATGCATCCAATATGCATAAATCAAACAGAAAGAGTGTCACATACTGTATGCTAGCCATATAACTCCCTTGACCAAGTGCATCCCATATGTTAATTAAATCCATATGATCAACATGATCTACGAACCGTTTAGGACTCAAAACCTTGGTTAAGGTAACAGTGATCATCAGTTTTGTACTGATGTGCTCAATGGACACTACAAGTTCCCTGACCTTCTCCTTAATAACAAGATATTTAATTTCTATATGCTTGGATAAGTCCAAGCTCTTATTGTTTTTAAGAAAAGAAAAATTGCAGCAGAATCATCATAAAAAATTCTTAGTGGTTTGGAAAAAATCTACAAACCGAAGCCCCAAGATAAAATTCTGCAACTACAAAGCTTGCTTGATAGCCTATAGCAAGCTGCAAATTTTGCTACCATAATCGACGAGTCTACCAAGGAATGGCTCCACCAGTCATCATGAAGATATAACCTGATGTCAAATTCCTATCATCTAGATAAACAGTAAAATCTGTAACTCAAAATCCAATCACATCAAGATGATCAGATTTAGTTTATGTGAGCATAATGTTCTTTATCTTCTGCATATACATCATTACTTTCTCAGCCGCTTTTCAATGTTGTAGCCGTTGGTTAATCTGATATCTAGCCAACATACTGACCAAAAGCTATATTTGGACAGGTGCACTGTTGAGCAGACATTCAATTTCTCACAACTAATGTATAAGGAATATTCTTCTTTCTAAATTATATCTGTGACATTGTAATTTGTTGACGTTATCACCCTTACTAATAGGTGCAATATCATGGAGAATACTTTTGCATATTATACCTCTTGAGAAACCCCTCAATATATGCATTTTGTATTAGTCCTAGAATCCCTCGAGATCTGTCTTGATGAATTTTTATGCTAATCACACATGAAGCT